ATGTGAGGCTGCTTTTTGGAAATCAATAACTCTGGAATGTTCATTCCACGGTTAAGTCGATTCGTCGGAATATCTTATTCAAGGATTATTCCTTTTCCCCAGTGTAAGTTTCTGTTGTCCCCAAAAGGTTGACAATTTATTCCTCAAGCAGTTATAGGTGAAATTTGATTCCATGTAGGCCCTATTTCGTTGGAGTATTCCCTAGAAACATCCAATCTCTATTTGGCGTTCCCCTTCGGAAGTTACAATTTCCCCCTGATCTTCTCCAGTAACGTCCTATTTCTATTCGACATTCTCTTTCAAAAATTACGGTTTCACCCTGATAATCTCCAGCAATGTCCTATTTCTATTTGGCGTTCTCTTTCGAAAGTTACAGTTTCACCCTGACATTCTCCAACAATGTCCTATTTCTATTTTGAATTCTCTTTCAAAAGTTATGATTTCTCTCTGATCTTCTCCAGCAACATCCTATTTCTATTTGGCGCTCTCTTTCAAAAATTATGGTTTCGCCCTGATTTTCTCCAGTGGTGCCCAATCTTCATTTGGCATCTGTTATCAGAGTTGACAGTCTCGATCTGATTTTCTCCAGTAAAGTTTGCAATTTATTTTTCAATTCCTCTTAGTGTTTATTTCCCGTTTCTACCCGTTAATCAATTTGTTACTCCCCACAAAGTCTAATCTCTTCAAGGGTTTCTCTCCAGCGATTTCTTAATTTTTCTCTTCTCTGGCAGATTTTTGCAATTTACTTTTGCGAGTCCTGTCAAGTTTTAACCTATTCATTCATGGCTTCTCCATTGGCCATTCCCAAGCGAAACACCTAATCATGCATCATCGCATTTCATCCTCAAAGTGTACAGTTTCTATTCTCTTTTGGGAACATTACTTCATTGAAAAAATAATAATTGAAACATGCGTTGGAACATAAGCCATTATTGTTTCTGATTTCCCCTGTGAATTTGCTAACTTTGGATTGTATCCCAAGCGAGGTCTCTATCCTTAATATCCCGGTTTTCACCCATACAAGTATTTCCTTTTGGATATTACCATTAAGTGGTTGAATGTCTACTCATTTCCTTTGATTGTAGTCCATTTCTACCTAGCGTAGTTTTCTCGGGTTTAGTCTTTACTACCCTTGTTGGTTCATTTCAATGTATATTGATATACCTTCTGAATACCAGTTTTGTCCTGATATTCATTTTCATCCTAGTTTTATCTAGTTGCTTTTAGGTCGAGTTTCGTCTTGTTAAATGTGCGTGCAATCCAGCATCGTCCTAGTACTTATCTTTGGATTAGTTTCTTCTAATATTCTTGAGTCGAGTTTGCTACTCATTTTAAGTGTTATCTTTGGACCAGTTTCGTCTAGTCTTCTTGAGCCAATTTTATACTCGTTATTTGTATCTTTTATTACTTGGGTTTATTCAGCTTCGTCTACTGTCTACCCTTGTTTGAGATCAGCAGGTGTTTTGTGAAATACACGCGCTTTCTGACACCTTGCTATAGGACCCAATTTCTATTGTTGTCCTATTGAGTACTTTTTTCAGAGCCTAGTTTCGTCTAGTTCCTCTTAGGTCTAGTTTCATCTTGGTACCTTGTTTGTGTACCAGTTTCTTCCTGGCGCATTCTTTATAAGTACTCCCCGGAGGCCGACTTTTATCTCGATAACCTCTACTCAATCCCACCAGCGTTCCGCTAACGTGCAAATGGTATAAGGTCAGTTTTTCCTGTCCTTTGTTGATAGATACCATTTTATTTATTCTATAACCTCATGGATCCGATATCTATTCGTATCTTTAGAATCTAGTCTCGTCAATTTTTTCTTGGGTTGAGTTTCTTCTCAATATTGTGATTTGCAGTCTAGTTTCATCCTGGTGCATTTTTCTAGAATCTAGTCTCGTCTAGTTTTCTAGGGTTGAGTTTTATCTCAATTGGTGTTCTAGTTTTGTCCTGGCACATTCTTATAAAGTCTAGTTTTGTCTAGCCTGCTTGAGTTGAATTTTATCTCATTTTCGCAATTTGTACTCCAATTTTACCTGTCGCATCCTTCTAAAGTCTAGAATCCACTAGTTCTCTTGGTGTAGGTACAATCTTGACTTATCTTAATTTTCAAGTCCAATCTCTACTTGGCTCGTTCTTTAAAATCCAATTTTCACTAGGTATATCTCTTGAATCAAGTTTTATTTGACGCTCTTTGGTAATATTTAGTATTCATTAGTCTTCTCTTCTTTCATCCAGTTTGTTTGGTGTCGATCCTTACAAGTACAATTACCCTTGTTGCTTTTCTCTCTCTTTCAAGAGCGTAAATTTTTGGGTTCTTTTAGTATTCAATCCTCTTCCACCTTGAATGTTCGAAATCTGTCACTTTTTCTCACTTATCAGGTTTAAGAAGATTTAATAGGGGTAGCTATTGCACCCCAAAATTTACCCTCTTAAATTCCAAACTTTTTAAGGCTTATGTTTCATCATACACATTCATGCATTTAAGATAGGATCAAGGTATTATTATCTTCATGGTCTTCTTCAAGCAGTGGAATTTGATTGTGTTGACAATCAGTCCAAGATGGATCTCATATCCTAATTATTTTGATCATTCAGGCTACCAAGGCCTCTCAGACCTCGAGACATCTCAATTGATTCTTTGTTTCATCAGAGGATTTAGAGTTGCAAGTGTTTCAAAGTAAATCACATTTTCTCCTATTTATTGGCTCTTGTGCTAGGGTTTTGATTACTGAAGTGTGTGACGTCTTTCTTGACTGAATTCCTGAATTATTATCATCATGAGTTTTATCTCAGTACACCTTTAATCATCAATGGAGTTTCTATGTGGGTTTTCATTAAGAAGAGATTTTATCTGGTTTCTGAGATCAAGTGAATATTTGGTTACTTGTTGACTCAATTTTTGATTTCAAGTAGTGAAGTTATGATGCAAATTCAAGTTAAGAGATCTTTTGGGTTTATCACTGGAGTCCAACCTTTGGTTTAGATGTTCATTCAGAAGAAAACTCATTGTAGAGAAAGTATTTTTGTTGCTTTAACTACTTCAGAGGAAAAGCTCATTTGTTTGCTGAATACTTTAAAATGAAGAGAGAATTCCTAATCTAATCTATCCTATGAGATGCTAATGGCAATATTTCACATTTCTTTTGAACTTTCCCTCCAAGACTTCATGCCATGGACCAATCTACATTATCTTCATCAAATTTTATCATTTCTTTACCTCATCTCTAGTACCACGTCACACCATACATTATCTTTATAAGCTTGTGACATCACATTATTTCACTATCATTTTTATTTCACTATCTGTTGTACCCCAATTTTTGACCTAAGATCCTATTTTTATTTTTTTGCATTTTTTTAAGATAAGTCAAGGTCACGAAATACGGTCGATTTTAACGTCTCACCTTCGAGCTTTGACTATGCGAAGATTGTCAAGTGTTTTGAACATTTTTAGCATATGTATCACTAATTTCTAATCGCATACAAAGGTGTATGTTCATGTTTTCTTTTGTGTCATGTGCAGAGACGGGTCTGGATCAAGAGCATCAAGTGTCGCGCCTCAATTAAGGTTTTGATTTTCCCAAGCCAGAAGTACGGTTGATTGTGGATTCTCGAAAACTGATTCATCAAGGCACAACTATTGCACCCTAAATTTCGCCCCTAATATGTTTTAGTCGCACTTCCGTATCATATCTTGTTATTTAGTCACAATCATTAGTAAATATCTTCATTCATCACATTTTGCATCATTAGTCGTACTTAAGTTGACCAGAAAAGTCAGTTTAAATCAAAGTTTGCATCGTCTTTTAGTTAAAATATACTTGACATTTCACTTCATGCATTTTTATCTCTTTACTCGTTTCTTGCATTGCTCCAAGTTGTTTATATGTCGATAATAAAAATATTTTGGTTTTATAGGCAAACTGTTAAAAGCGATTCAACAATGTGCGAAAAATTAGCGAGAAAAATATTTCAAGTTTTCACCTTTTACCGATCATTTTATGAATCTGCATCTCGCATAGATTATGACGGTATGCTCGCTTTATTTTTTCGATACAGTTTGAAGTCTCGTTTTTAACCGTAAAACGTCTGTTTAGCCTGGTATTTTCATTATCATTGTATTCCTATTTTTACTTTTTGAATATTTTTTCTTTAATCTTTGTGACATGTAGTTTATTTTAATGTGTTCATTTTATTTTTTCGGATAAATTTTCGTCCGTTTTTTATTGTTTTCGGTCATTTTAGCTCTTTATTTTTTATTCAAAAAAATATATTTTAAATTGAATTAATTTTAATACTTTCAATTTTTATTTCATTTTTATCATTTAAGGGCTATTTGGTCACAAAAATATATTATTTACACTGTGCTTGATTCTTATTGGTTGTTAGCAAAAATAACGGATCAGTAAATTGAGTTTATTTTGAATGGCTCTGATTGCAATCATAAACCCATCTCCACTTTATTTTTCTATTTAAGTAGCATTATTTCTTTGTAAAGAAGAAGAAAACACAAAACAAATAACACTTACAGTAGCTCTTCATCTATTCTCTCTAACTCTCTATTCAATTTATCTTCCAAATTTCCTCAGTTCAAAACCCACGCATTCCTATCCATTCCCTAACATACACTAATCCACTCACCACTAACCTCTTCACTATTTTTCAACATAAACAACACCATCAAATTTAATTCACACTACACTAATATTTTCACAGTCACAAACACTTTATCTCAAATAAATAAAAAAAAACCAATCTCCATACATGGTGCATTTTCACAAACCACACAAAACCTGTATACATCTCAACTTCTCCCACTAAGAAAAAAAACGTTTTTTTCCTTATTTCTTAGTCTAATTGTTGAACGTACTTTGAGTCATAAAAAAAGAGAGTCAACCTCTATTTCAAATGGAAACACAGAAGGAAGAGTTGTGGATGATGCATAGATCCGCAAACACCGACACCATTGTCGAATCCCTCTGATTTATGTACATCAAGTAGCCCTACGCAGCTTCGGCGACAAGGCCACCATAATAGCCACCACCATCGCACATCACCCCATAACTCCCTTTCGATTCCATCAACATCATTGTAACCTCATCCTTTCTCCATGTAAACACAACACCATTAACACCACTAACCACCTAACGCCTCCGGTACATAACCGTTCCTATCCTTCCACTGCAAACAACCTCTTCCCTCTCTTTTTCTTCACATCAATCAAACAAAACGTAGCTTCATCAACCACTACCTCCTCCATATAACTATATCTATATATTTATTTCTATCTCTTTCTTTGAATAAACTCATACATACAGTGCATGATCCACCAATGACTTCCGCTTGCATCAACAACATCGGTATGTCACCTGAGCCCTTCTTCTCATGGGATCCCGAACCCGACTTCGAGTTCCGTCTCCAAGATCCCGTCACCATGCTTCCCGCCGCTCCTCAATCTCAATCGCACGGCACCACCCTCTAGATCTGCATCGCACTTCCATGAACACCATGAGGGAATTGATGTTGAATATTTGTTATTGATTGCTTAAAGAAATCGAACAGGGACTGGATTTGAGAAAAAAAAGAGGTTTGATTGGAAAGAAGGAAGAGAGTTAAATGACAAAGCTGTCGTCTCTCTCTGTCATTGTATGTGGGTATGTATCATATATTTTCTTTTTTTTTCTTTTCTTTTAATTTCTAATGCCACGTGTCATGCCTTGAGTGGTTGATTTGGAATAGTGGAAAGGGTCAAAGTTTCAACATCAGCTTCTTGCTGAAGCGTGAAACAAATGGGAGTTAAAAAAAAATTTTTATCATTTAATATTTGTTTTAATTATTACTATTATTTAAATTGGGTTTATGTATAAAATGGGCATCAGGTCTATATTACCAATTATTGTTGCATCTTCAATTCAATATACACTCCTAGCCCAATTATCTTAAAAAAAATATTAAAAAAATTAGTAAATCTTATATTTAGATTTAGTTTAGTATTAATTTAGAATTTTTTAATTAGTTTAGATTTATTTTATAACTTTAAAATATTTAGAATCATAATTAATAACTTTAGAATTTTATTTGTTTTAATTTTATTTTAGTAACTTTAGAATTTTATTTCATTTAGATTTGATTTAGTAAATTTTAGAATTTTATTTGTTTTGATTTTATTTAGTAAACTTTAGAATTTTATTTGTTTTAATTTTATTTTAGTAACTTTAGAATTTTATTTCATTTAGATTTGATTTAGTAAACTTTAGAATTTTATTTGTTTTAGTTTTATTTAGTAAACTTTAGAATTTTATTTTAGTTTTATTTTAGTAACTTTAGGATCTTATTTTATTTAGATTTGATTTAGTAAACTTTAGAATTTTATTTTAGTTTTATTTTAGTAACTTTAGGATTTTATTTTATTTAGATTTGACTTGGTAAACTTTAGAATTTTATTTTGTTTTAGTTTTATTTTAGTAATTTTAGGATTTTTATTTTATTTAGATTTGACTTAGTAAACTTTAGAATTTTATTTTGTTTTAGTTTTATTTTAGTAACTTTAGGATTTTATTTTATTTAGATTTGACTTGGTAAACTTTAGAATTTTATTTTGTTTTAGTTTTATTTTAGTAACTTTAGGATTTTTATTTTATTTAGATTTGACTTAGTAAACTTTAGAATTTTATTTTGTTTTAGTTTTATTTTAGTAACTTTAGGATTTTATTTCATTTAGATTTGACTTAGTAAACTTTAGAATTTTATTTGGTTTTAGTTTTATTTTAGTAACTTTAGGATTTTATTTCATTTAGATTTGACTTAGTAAATTTTAGAATTTTATTTGTTTTAGTTTTAATTTAGTAAACTTTAGAATTTTATTTGATTTTATTTAAGTTAACTTTAGAATTTTAGTTGTTAGTTTTAGTTTAGGGACTTTAGAACTTTATTTGATTTAGAATTAGTTTAATAAGTTTAGAATTTTAGTTGTTTAGAATTAGTTTAATATTCTTTTAGAATTTTATTTGATTTAGATTTAGTTTAGTAACTTTGAATTTTTTTTTTTTTTAGATTAGCAACCTTGGAATTTTTATTTAGTTTAGATTTAATTTACTAATTTTAAAATTTTTAATTTAGCTTAGATCTAATTTAGTAATTTTAGAACTATTTTTGCAACCTTAGAATTTGTAGTTAGTTTAGAATTTTTAGTAAGTAATCTTAAAATTTTAATTTAGTTTAAATAACTTCTTTAGATAATTAGTTACATTCTCTTTTATTTTATTTAAATATCTTTGTCATTTTAATTTCTCGATGCCTTTAGGTCATTAATCTGTTTCGTTATATTTATTTTCTTGTAAATTTTGATTGCTTATATTTTGATGTCTATTTCATTTTGCTCGCTCGATTTAATCCAAGGGAAATGTTTTAACTTTGTTGACTTCATGTTATCAAACACATCTCATCCAATCGTGCGAATACCCTCATTCATCTTTTGTTTGTTTACTATTTTGTTAAACCTAAGATAATTTTCCCAAAAGATTCAATTTTTAAACTCACACCTTTTAAGTCAAAACTTCGACACTAGGTCGTCGCATCTTCAAAATCTCGTCCATACCCATTTTTTAGCCAAACGAACCATTTTTATCAAACAAACAATTTTAACCAAAAAACGGATATTTCAAAAGGTTCCTGCAGAGTACCGCAGATGCATTGGGTGCTAATACCTTCTCATTGTATAACCAACCCCCGAACTCTCGATCTCTTTTAAAAACGCATTGTATTTTCATTACTTTTAAATATTACTTTACATTGCATATTTTAGGGTTTTATTTCGCTCTTTTCCCTTTTCCCTTGGAAATAATAAAGCGCGGTGGCGACTCTTGCTTTTGTGAGTCAAGTTAATTAATAGCTTGATCTCCGATTTTCACCGCTACACTATCATCACCATGTGATTCATGTAAAGTTTGGAAATGAGAAAGGTTAGAATGGATTCAAATGCAACAGTTTTCAATATGCTACATGGTTTACTCGAGGACCACAAAAGAACATTATAAGTTTCAAAAGGACTCACAAGTTGTTACAATACAATACACCATTTCTCATTCAAGTTTAAGTTTACAAAGAAAAGTTTAATCTTCAAAATAGGAAGAACTAGTGGGAGATCTTCATTCCGTGAGTTCAAGTTACAAGTTAAGATCAAAATTACATTCAATATCCAGGTTTCAAATACAAAGTGCAATTACAAGGTAATGAAAATTACATTGAAGTGTATATTTTAACAAGTTAACCACTGTTTGAATTCTGGTTTCTACAAAGATGTACTTAAATATATCATATTTCATCTTTCAGCATTACCAAAATCTCATGCTTATTGATTTTCTTCATAATTGCTTCATGGCCATTAAAGTTTGGCATTCCTCCAAGGCTTCTTTTTCTTCAAAGCTTCTCTCTGTGAATTCTATTCCAAGTCATGCCACGATTTCTCCTTGCTATCTTCCTCCCATCAATCCATTTTTCGCATCACATGAAAACAAATAAGAGAAATACTAGCAAGCAAGCAAAACTTGAGCACAAACAAAGAAATTTTCAAGGGTTTTCTCATTTCATCATAAGGGTTTATGAAGGAATCAAAACATAGGGAGTTTGAATTAAATCATATGCCAAAGCCTAACAAAAGCCTTATTATTTTGCAAACAAAACCAGACTCAAGAGTAAAATTGTTGGCCTAAGAGTATTGCTATTGCAAATCACAAAAACCATTGGTCGTTGGTTCATAAAGGGAGGTGCTAAGGAGAAGTTACTACACAAATGAACTCAGAATTTCATCATAGTTAGCAGTACAAAAGTCGCATTTTCAAGCCCAGTATAGCATCGCGGTTCAACAAGTTTTCACAGTACAAAGCATTACATAATACACAAAAATCACATCAGGTTTCGTAAAACCCAAGCATCACAGTTCACATATCAGTAAAATACCACATCTCAGCACAAGTTCACTGTTCAGTCAAAACAAGAAAACATAGCAGAAAAATTGTGCAACCCAACATCACAGTAAATTCACATGGTAGAAAAGCAACACATCCATTTAGAAACAGGATAATATAAAGATGAAATAGAAAGAAAAACGGGAAGAAACGTTCAGAATAGCCAGCTCAGCAAATTAACCAAAATATTTCAAAGCAAGTCTCATTTTAAATAAAATCCTGACTATCCATTAACATAACAAACTCTCACAACGAGCAGCTCAGATCAAATCCAGCTCTAACCATTTTTCTAACAAAATTACATAACTATAAAGCATAAAGTTCACACTAATTTAATTCATTCTTCAATTCTAGAAGAATCACAGAAAAATCTCCATAAAGTTCTCTCTTCTCTCACAACTTCATGATTCATTTTCATCATCCACAGAAAAAACTATAACTCTCATCACAGTTACTTCACAGAAACGGAATCAACAAACTATAAACCCTAACTTATAATCATTTTCCTAATGCATAAACCCCTCAGATCAAAAAAGGAAGAGGAGGAAAAGATTTGAATCCACGAATTTAGAAGAATAAGAGAGATACAATTACCACATTGAAGAGAAGAGAAGGAGGAATCTCAAATCATCTTCGGAAGGAAAGTCAGCATCGCTCTCCACCATTAAAAACTCTGAACTCGCTTCAGAGAGGTCATTTCAATTCTTCAGAGATCAAATCCTTCATCATCATCATCAATTTCCATCATCATAAACACTTAGGGTTTCGTTTCTCCTTTCAAGATCTACGTCCAACCGCTAAGCATTTGCAAAATCAAGCACCAAAATAGTAATCAGAAGAGAGAGAGACGAAGCTAGAGGTGCAAGAAAAGTTGAGATCAGAGTATCTCCTCCGTGTGACTGCCGCCGTCTCCGCCATAGGCGATTTCCGGCAAGAGCTTCAGCAAAGCTCTCTATAGAGAGAAACAAAAGAATGAGAGATTAAGAGAAGATACAATTGTATCTTATGTTTTCTCTTGTTATGTTTTTTTGTTTATTTTGTTTTGTTAATTAATTTAGGATTATATCACTAATCCGGCAGTGACAAGTGTCATCGCTGTTGTGGCCACCATGTGATTCTGCACAGGTACCTCCCGGTGGTCCACCATGCACCCTCGCCTTCATCACTGTTAGATTATCATTAGGTCTATATTAATCAAGATCCAATTCTCCAGATCTATTGCTTATGGCGGATCTTCAGAAGGCTTAACCATCATCCTCAATGGATCCCATGTGCACCTCTCCATCAGCCTTGTGATGCATCCTTGCGCCTTCATCGTCAGATCTGAATCTGACGCTCTAACGCGCGAGACCTCATGTTGCACCCCCGGGAGCGCTCAACATAGGATCATGTAGAGGCCTTTTTTTGACAACCTGGGCTCAAATGTTCACAAGACTAACAAAATTCTATCTAGCACCCCCCAATTGCTGATTTCATTCCCAATTCTATTTTTTTCTTTATACTTTTTTTGTATTGTTTGTTTAAATATTTTTCTTTAGAAATTAAAAATAAAAAAATACTTTTTTTTCAAATAATTAATTAGATTGAAAATATTATTTGATATCATTAATTATTTTGTTAATTAATTTTATCAAATAAGATGGTTCAATTTAATTAGTTGTTTAAATAATTTCGATTGGGTTGTATTGTTTGTTTGTTTAGACTTTTAATTGTGTTATCGATTTGATACATCCCCATTCATAAACTTGTACCCCTATCCCCATATAGTTTGTAATAGCGTAGAATTTTATTTCTTTGTATGTTTTAATTTTTTCTTAAGTATGCATGTATCATCCAATTAAAATACATGGCCTCTTCTTGGGCTCCTCATCAATGAGCAGGTATCCACCTACACATGCACACTTGCACACATTTCATAGCTTGGTCATGGGCTTTCTACATCGACAACTTCTCGATCAATTATTCCAATTGGTCGTTTAGATATCAGCACCATGTTAATCCTCACTTTTTAGGAGCATGCATATAGCCACCTTGTATGGGCTTGTTTGATTTTCATCTTATGCATTGAATAGAACTTTATCACCTTGTATCAATAAAATAGAATAAAATTCTCATCTCTTGGTCCATATACCAAGCATTTTCTTAAAGGGTCTCATAGTTGAGTTTGAGCATGGCCATTCTCACGAGATTAATCAAGTTTTTCCCTTGGTTAATAATAACCTGAATAAATCACTTTGGTCCATATACCAAGTGTTCCATGCACAAAAGGGTCTCAGAGTTGAGGGTAGGAGCATCTACTCTCACGAGATTAATCAAGTATAGCCCTTGGTTAATCATAACCCGAGTCAACTCCCATACACCAAGCATTCCATTTATCTTGTGGATACTTCTGCCATGGTTTTGTAATCGATTGTTGATGCAACCCGGGTATGCCTGGTTATTGGTTGATGAAGGAAACTCAAGGAGGCGTTCAGTAGAGTTTTCTTATCTCGTGCGCGTTGGAGAGGCAACGGATCTTCTTTGTTAGGTATCATCATACTGTTTACCTTGGGTTTTGGTAAACAACCGCTGATCTTCCAAATGGTTACTTATTTGGTTACTCGCAGGATCGATCAGATTGATCCTATGGACATAGGTTGATTTTGAAGTTGGATTAAGTTGGATAAGGCTTTAAATAAAAGGTTTCAAGTAAATTGCATAAAGGAAAGGCTTGGTAAAATAAACAAGGCTTTAAAGTAAAGGTTCGACAGGAAATGTAAAGAGAAAGCAAATAAAATTCTGGGAAAGTAAATGACTTTAATTGATAAAATTGGTGTTTCACACATACATTTCTCAACAATTCTTTCTCACACGCTGGGTACTTGAATCTAAATGAGTGACTTTGTATGGAATAGTGAACACACGCGAGAAACTACACGTCTACTCCTATTTATACTAAAACATTCCAAGTAACCGTCGGGCAGTTACACTGCTTCGAGATTAAGCCACTTGGCACGTTCTCCATGCTCGACACTCCAGATCCTTGCACGTTTGCACGTAGTAACTGCTGGAAACCGTTTTTCCTCCAAAGCTTTGAATTTCAAACTGCTTCCACTCTGGACCATCGAACACTTTCATCAAGAGACATCTTCGACGAAAACTCCTTCGACGTCGAAGGCAACCAGCCTTCTTCCTTGGAAGAAATCTTCTAAGTATTTCGCCATCTTTCGACGGGCATTCCGACAGGCTTAGCCAGTCGAAAGCATCTTTCAGCTTTTAATGGCTGACATCAATCAAAACAAAGGTGTCGAATTTAGGAGCCAACAAATTGCCCCCCAAGAATGCCTTATTTCGACTCTGAAAGAAAAAGGCATTCTTTGAAACGCCATTCGACACCTGTCTTTCCACGCTTAGTCACAAGTTAACTTGTGCACTTTTTGTTGCTTTTTACCAACTATTGGCAATCCCAAGAAACCATCATTGATTTGATCCTAGGACGTCACTTTCAGTACGGCGTGCAGTACCAAACGTCATTTCAGAATTTGTCATTATGACAAATCCCAAAAACGAGGACGCACGCTGCGTCCCTCTGTTTCTGCAGAAACGGCCAAAACAACAGGATGCTGCCACGCGTCCCACTAACTCCTGCAGCATTAAATGACATTTAATGTCCTCGTTATTGGGGATTTTTCCCACTACTATAAATAGCAGTGAACATCCCATTGTGGGACTTTTTACGCCAAACTAGCCTTCAAACTTCCTTATTTTCGCACAAGCTTGCTCTCTTTGCAGAAAACTCTTCCTCTTTCAGTTCATCTTCAACCTCAACAATGGCCTCTGCTTCTACTGCTCCTAGTGCTAAAACACCAACTGAACATGTTAAACCCAAGGTCTTCGTCACTGCTCCGGTAGTGAACTCTACAGGCAAACGAAGGGTTCCTGAACCTTCTGACATCTCCGTCTGCGATGCTTACTCGCGCCATTTGATGATCCCGGTTGGATACTCCAACCAAATCTTCGCAATGTCTGGCCCCATGAATCCAAGCATCTCTGAAGCTCTGAAGATAAAGAGCTATTTCCCAATCGTCGAGAAACTCAAGCCAGTAGCATGCGCCAAGAAAGACGCAGAAGACAACGAAGACCCTACTCGTGAGAAAATCGACCTCCGCTTCTTCAACAGAGGGGTTAGAGTCTTCAGGTCTTGCCCTAATCTGACCTCCGATTATGTTGCTTGGCTAACAAAGTTGGAGAAGCATCAAACTCCAATCTGGAAGGAAATGGGAATCTTCGACCTGGTGATGCTGTCGAAGACAGGCTTAAACTACTCCCCAGAGATGCTTATAGCTTCGCTGTTGTTCTGGGACTACTCCCATTTTACTTTTCATCTTCCATGTGGGATGCTAACCCCCACACTCTTCGATGTAGCAGCTATTACTGGCCTTCGACCAACCGGAGATTACTTCGACCCGGAGGAGATGTCGGAGGACCAAATTGGCTTCTCTGAGACCAAGCCCACATACACCACTTTCATCAACCATTTTCATGACAGGTCGACGGATACAGTGTCGGATGTCG